ATGAGGTATATATACACTATTTACATTATTCGGACTATTGTCCTCATCTTTGTTGCCATATTTATTACAATGTTTCGGCACTTCAGTATCCTTCTATATTTCTGAGATGAGGTATTATGTACACTATTTACATTATTAGGACTATTGTCTTCATCTTTGTCGCCATATTTATTACAATGTTTCGGCCCTTCAGTATCCTTCTATATTTCTGAGATGAGGTATTATGTACACTATTTACATTATTCGGACTATTGTCCTCATCATTGTTGCTATATGTATCACAATGTTTCGGCCGTTGTACGCTCCGGCATTTTTCAGGTATTTGGAATGTTGAACTGAACCCTTTATTTCGTTCACTGGGGTAGACTGTTCTAGTTCCACGTGCCATGTTTAACGGATGTCAGTTATCAGTTATCTCCTGTTAATTTCCCTCTGAAAGTTCTTCATTGCCTTCGCCGAGTATTGAACTCACACTCTTTGGGTCGTGTCACTGGATCTAAATAACACCTTTATCTACTGTCCCTTACATAAGTGGATAAAGGCGTTAGTTAGATCCAGTGACAGGACCCAAAATGTGTGAGTTAAATAACCGGTGAAGGCAGTGGTATTAACAGGATATAACTGATAACTGACATCCATTAAACATGGCACATGGAACTAGAACAGTCTACCCCAGTGAGCGAAATAAAGGATTCAGTTCGAAATTCCAACCACCTGAAGAAGGCCGGAGCGTACAACGACCGAAACGTAATAAATATGGCGGACTATTGTCCTCTAGTCCGAATATTTTAATTATACAATTAATTTCTCTTCTAAATCGCCACTCGTCTTTTTTGTTACAGCTGTTGTAAATCCTCAGGTGATGTGTTTTTTTTGTTATTTACATTGCTTGATCACGTTTTTTGTTAGTTTTAGAGATGTTTTTATATTTTTAGTATTTTAACACCGCCTAGATACTGTAGAAATTCAATTTCTCATTTTAACAACTATTTCGAATGGAAATTGTCTATGCACCACTAAAATATTACCGTGGACACCAATTTTCTATTTTTTTGGCCCCCAAGTAATGTTATATAAACCACCCAGTGTTCATACGCACTCCGACTGAGAGTCATTGATCTTCATTCGCTTGAAGCTATTTTGAATAATTTTCTGAGAAGCCACTAGGACGCAAGGGGTTACAGAAGATTTGGAGCAAGATCAGATAGGAGTGATAGAGGAAAGGATGAGGAGAAGGGTAGTGGATAGATCAAGGCAACTGGAGATGTCGATTGACATTTCATTTGAATAACTGGAGATTATAGCTCTCAGGGAAACTGGAATAGGGAAGGGAGTTCCACAGGCGAGAGGTGCGAGACATGAAGCTATTGGAGTAGAAGAGACGGCTACATTTAGGAGTTTCGACAGTGAAGGGGTGAGAGCGGGATGCCAGCCTCGTAGGGCGCTTTAACTCATGAAATCTGGGAACCAGCGAATGCAGCTCCTCGGAGCAATTACCATGAAAGTATTTGTAAAACAGACAGAGAGAGGCGACGGCGCGTCTGTGAGAATGTGACTGTAGACGAGATGCCAGAACAGGGCCAATTATATTGCATATCCGCCTCTGGATCTTATCAAGAACCCCGAGGCAAACATAAGGGGCTCCAGACCATATATAGCAGCAATACTCCATGCAAGGGCGAATTGTTGATTTGGAGATTTGGAGGATCGATTTCGGGGAGAAAAATTTCTTGGCGCGGCACAGGGAGCCAACTTTCCTTGCGGTAGACGAAGCAATTGACTCAATGTATTTGTTCCATCTCAGGTCAGACGTCAACGTGAGACCGAGCAGCTGCAGAGAGGTGCTCTCGAAAAGTTGCTTTTAGATGATAATTTACTCATCTTAGTTGTTTTTATCACAACGTTTCAACATTTGCTCTCCTAGGGTTTTCATCAGGTGTATGCCGATCCGGGTAACCTACATGGAATTTTGAATTTAACACTTTATTTAAGCTAGAATCTAATTTAACCTATCGTGGGACAATAGCCTAGTGGATTAAAACGTGGGTTCGTGAAATTGGAGTTCAATCCCTGAGCCGAGCAGAGTATTTGGACTCAGTGGAAATGGGATAAATATCCACTTCTTCTCCCCCAAGCTATGGGTAAATAGCAGGACAGACCGGGTTCTATAGCCTTGTATATCAACTGGTCTACCGCAAAACGAAATTGGCAACCTACTGCAGGAAAAATCTGCCTCGTCAAGCGTGTATCGAAAGATACATGATCGCCTAAGCATGTATTACGGATGGCACATAACTGACTAAGAGACAAGCTTGTTAACCATAACACTAAGTCAAGACACTTGGACGTGGTGTCCTCATTAGCAAGCTTGTCTCGTTCGATCAATTACGATTGAGTAGTAACTTTAACCCCCCCCCACCTTGATGATTTTTGGGACAATGCGTATATATTCACTGTGTATATATTTGATATCATTTTTAAAATGGTATCACTGTGCTTGACTGCACAGTAAAAGAAGCTATAGGTAAACAGCAGGACATGCCAGGTTCTGTGACCTTGGATAGCAACAGGTCTATCGCAGAAAGAAATTGGCAACCTACTGCGGGAAAAAAATCTGCCTCGTCAGTCATATATCGAAAGATACATGATCACCTAAGCGCGTATCACGCATGTCACATAATTGAATAATTGATCATTACTAAAAGAAATATGAACTGATATATCTCTAGAACAATCTATTCCCTGTAAATTAAATAAGATTAAGATTTCAGTTTGAAATTCCTTATAATTTTAGATTTCAACCGACAGCAACACGGACTGCTTGGCCAGTTAATGACGAATTTTTATTTATAAGGAAACGTCTAATATTACCATTACCCTTCTAAATGAGGAGAACAGATACTTCACTCTGATCCCAATCCGAAGGTCAGAGAGTGAAAAAAAAGCCTATTACGAGTAGCACTGGCCGCATGGTCAATGGTTGCAGAATATTTCCCTATAAGAAAACGTCTAATATGACAGTTGCCAATAAAAATATCGAGAACAGATACTACACTTTGATTGAAAAGGAGTGAAGAAAAGTGTAACTCGAGTAGAACTGGCTGCTTGGTTAATGAATATCGTATATTTCTATAAATCTTTAATCTTACCATTGCTTCTTCCATGATTATCTGACCGTAAAGGGTTGTAGAATTATAGTTTCTGGAAGAATCACTATTCCAACAGTTTGAATATGCCAATTTGTGGTCCCAATTTTCTCCTGAAACCCATAATTTCTCCAGGGTGCGAATTTACCCTGATTCAGAATCACTGATCAAGACAATCTAAAATAAGACAACCATTTCATTGGAATTGGATCTTTTCTTCGATCTTTTTCTTTTTTCTTATCATTTTTCTAATTCGTTTCACATTGTTTCTCATCTATTTACTATTTCTAGTCATTTTCCCCTCCTTTCTTTCCAGTTGCTTCTTCCAAAGTCTGCTCTTTCCATCTATTCAATCTTCTTCGCCATTTTCGCAGTTATCAAAAGAAGATTCTAAATAAAAATACCGGGATTCGTTATTCGCCTAGTGACATCAGATTATGTCACATCAGAGGCGATATATCAGATTCCTCTTTCCTTTCGACAATAATATCTATGCTGTATGAAATGGCGGAATTTAACGAACCGGAAACAAAATGGCGGATAACGGCCATCATTTCGTTGGTATCATAGTCACGGATGTTTTGCTCTGCAGGCGAATATGCCCTTCCCTCATCTCGAAACATGAGTAGAAACATAAGGGGAAGTGTAATGTATGAGAAAAAAAAGGGACAAGAATAAGGATTTAAAATATAAGACAATGTCGAAGAGTAAAAATGAAAGCAAGAGACAGAAAGATTATGTAAGAAGACGAAGAAGAAGAAGACAGAATAATAATAATAATAATAATAATAATAATAATAAGAAGAAGAAGAAGAAGAAGAAGAAGAAGAGAGGAGAAAAAACAAAACACATACGACATAAGCAGAAGAAGAAGAAGAAGAAGATGGTGTGGGCGTTAGAAGAGAAAACGAAAAATGTTAATATAAAGAGAGGAAAATGTCTGACACTACAGCAATAACAGCAACTGCTACTACTATTATTACTAGATATATTATTATTATTATTAGTAGTAGTAGTAGTAGTAGTAGTACCGATAACATTAAGATTAAAAAGATATAAAACTGGAAAAAGTATCATATAAATAATATAGAAAAAAGAAAAAATTAAAAACAAAGTATATAAGTGGCAGCAAATTAGAACTACTATTACTACTACTACTACTACTAATAATAATAATAATGAATGCAGTATTAGTACGAGTATTAATGATAATGAAATGTAAAAGGTTAAAGAAAAAGAAAAACGAGAAACTGATAAAATAAAAAAGGAAAAAAAGAAGAAAAGAAAACCAAATTAAGTGTAGAAAGAAAGAAAGAACAGAAGGAAAAGCAGAAGATTAAAAAAAGAAAAAGCAGACAAAAAAGAAAGAGTAGAAGAAAAAGAGAGAAGGAATAGAAGAAAAAGAAAGAAAGAGCAGAAGGAAAACCAGAAGAAAAAGAAAGGGCAGAGGAAAAAGAAAGACAAAGCAGGAGAAATAGATAGAAAAGACAAATGAAGAAAAAAGGAAAAAGGAAAAAAAAAAGAAAAGCATAGCATAAAGAAAAGAAAAGCATAGAAAAAAAAGAAAAAGTAGGAAAAGAACAAAAAAGACGAAATAGAGAAAAGGCAGACAAAAAAAAAGAAAAAAAGAAAAGAAAAAAGAAAAAGCAGACGAAATAGAGAGAAAAGGCAGACAAAAAAAAGAAAGAAAAAAAGAAAGATTAGAAGAAAAAGAAAGAAACAGCAGACGAAATAGAGAGAAAAGGCAGACAAAAAAAAGAAAGAAAAAAAGAAAGATTAGAAGAAAAAGAAAGAAACAGCAGACGAAATAGAGAGAAAAGGCAGACAAAAAAAAAAAAAAGAAAATTAGAAAGATTAAAAAAAAAAAGAAAAAAAAAAAAAAAAAAAAACGAAAATAGAGAGAAAAGGCAGACAAAAAAAAAGAAAGAAAAAAAGAAAGATTAGAAGAAAAAGAAAGAAACAGCAGACGAAATAGAGAGAAAAGGCAGACAAAAAAAAAGAAAGAAAAAAAGAAAGATTAGAAGAAAAAGAAAGAAACAGCAGACGAAATAGAGAGAAAAGGCAGACAAAAAAAAAGAAAGAAAAAAAAAGAAAGAAGAAAAAAAACAGCAGAAAATAGAAAGAAAAGGCAGACAAAAAAAAAAAGAAAAAAAAAAAAAGAAAAAGAAAAAGAAAAAACAAATAGAGAAAAGAAAAAAAAAGAAAAAGAAAAGAAAAAAAAAAAAAGGAAAATAGAAGAAAAAAAAAAAAAGGCAGAAAAAAAAGAAAGAAAGCGTACAAGAAAAAAGAGAAAAGAAAAAAAAAAGTAGAAGAAAAGAAAAGAAAAGTATAAGAAGAAAAAGAAAAGAAAAAAAGAAAGTGCAAGAAGAAAAAGTAAAAGAGAAAAGCAGAAGAATAAAGAAAAAAAAAGCAGAAAATAGAGTTTAGACAATAAAAAGAAAAAAGGTTTAAAAGAAAAAGGTAAAAAGAAAAAGAGCAGAAGAAAAAGCAGAAGTAAAAGAAAGAAAGGGGAGTCGAAAAAAGAAAAGAAAAAGCAGACGAAACAGAAAGAGATATGAGAAGAAATAGAGAGAAAAGGCAGACTAAAAAGAAAGAAAAAAGAAAAAGTAGAAGAAAAAGAAAGAAAAAACAGATGAATGTAAAGATGAAAAAGCGAAAAAAGGAGAAAAAAAAATTGATAGAAAAGTAACAGGAAAAGATTCTTATATTTCCGATTCACTAATGCGCATGTCAAAAGCGTGGTTATCGGAGCATCACTTGTCTCTCCCGTACGCAGATACTGTCTTTCGACTTAGACAACTCACATAAGAAAAATGATTTGTAGCTTGTACTTATAAAATGACAGAGGCGGCTTTAAATGAATACAAACATAGGAATCATTGCGAAAGATAAATGCTCTTCTGTAAAGTGTCCAGAAGCAGAAAGTGACTGAAAGGTTGCGGGATGCCATTAAATTGGCCTCTTGCCTGATCAGCAGATTTGAGAGCCGCTTGAGTGAAATTATTTACCCAGCTCAGCAATAACCTGACTAAAGAGTTTCGTGAACAGGATGACTGTGTTGCGTTTTTCTTTTTTTTTTTTTTCATTTGGCGGATTTTCGAATACAAGGCTCAGGAGCCACTCAAGATAGGATTAATGTTATAATCGTAACGATGTGGGATATGAATGAAAGAGAAGGTGGTAGGAAGTGAAGATTATGAGGATAAGTGGGATAGATAACTATTGACCCTTCAGCTGGAGACCTTAATAACACACGCGATGGTTAGTTTCAAATTCCTAGCTCAGTGAATTATAATTTAATAACCAATAAATCTTGTAGTAGAATGATAAAGCCGTAAGAAACAAAGCCTATGAATGTTCCTTAAACTTTCTTGACTGCAATCCTGAGATTTTAGGCTCCTGGTGACTCTCGAGGCTAAAGTTACAGTTTTTCTACATTTAGTTTTTAACCTTTGGATTTTTTTTTTACTGAATCTCACCTTATATAAGATGTTAGGAAAGTTACTGCGCACTTTTCTAAACATTATTAAAATTTCAGATTTCACCGTAATATGCTTTTAACAAAATTATTTAAAATTTTCATTTATATTCTCCTCCTGTATTCTACATTGAAACATGACTGTTTAATAAAAAATATTTAAATAAAAATTTTCTTAAATATATATATATATATATATATATATATATATATATATATATATATATATATATATAAAAAAAGAACAGCAAGATATATAATCCGGTGTTCTTATAGATATTTTTATTTTACAAAATAGTGCTCAATGTAAATTTACAAACATTAATATCATAAATTAATTGATTTAAAATATGTTTTTTCGCTACACAGTTCTAACCATGTTTCAAATTTTTTAAAACATGGTTAGAACTGTGTAAAAAAAACATATTTTAAATCAATTAATTATAATATATATATATATATATATATATATATATATATATATATATATATATATATTAGTGGACATTTTCAATGCAAAACGAAGGAATTTATTAAAACAAAGTAACTAATAATAACAAAACAAAATTTCCTTAGCAACTGGAAGAAATAGCGTTCTCTAAATTCTTCCAGTTGCTAAGGACATTTTGTTTTGTTATTATTAGTTACTTTGGTTTAATAAATTCATTTCGATTTTTGCCTTGAAAAAGTCCACATTGGAGTCGGCTAATATTACAGTTTTACTATTGTCTTTTACATTTATAAATATTGTCCTTTTTTTGAGTCAATTGCTTCTTCCACCGCGAGGAAAGTTGGCTCTCTATGCCGCGCCAGGAAATTTTTCTCCCCGGAATCGATACTTCAAATATACAAAACAACCATTCGCCCTTGCATGGAGTATTGCTGTCATATATGGGCTGGAGCACCTTCTGCTTACCTCAGAGTTCTTGACAAGATCCAGTAACGGATATGTAATCTAATTGGCCCTGATCTGGCGTCTCGTCTGCAGTCATTCTCTCAGAGACGCGCTGTCGCCTCTCTCTGTCTTTTCTACAAATACTTCCATGGTAATTGCTCTGATGAGCTGCTTTCACTGGTTCGAATTCAAGCGCCCTACGAGGCTGGCATCCCGCTCCCACCCTTACACCGTAGAAACTTTCAATGTAGACGTCTCTTCTACTCCAATAGCTTCATACCTCGCACCTCTCGCCAGTGGAACATCCGCCTCAATTACTGTTTCCCTGAAAGCTATAATCTCCAACTATTCAAATGTAATGTCACCTCCAGTTACCTTGATCTACCCACTATCCTTCTCCTCATCCTTTCTTCTATCACTCCTATCTGCTCTCGCTCCAAATCTTCCGCAACCCCCTGCATCCTAGTGGCTTCACGCCTTGCTTGGGGCGAAAATTTAATTAAAAAAAAAAGGTTAACTCTGAGGAATTTTCATATATATATATATATATATATATATATATATATATATATATTTAGTGCCTTTTTTTTATATGTATGTATGTATTGTAATATTATCCATCCATCTATCTATTATCCATCTATCTATCTATATATATATATATATATATATATATATATATATATTCAAGTATGAATAGGGCCTGGTTTTTATTATTATCAGTGTCGGTTGATTGTTTATTTGCCATTAGTATTTCTGTGTACAAGAAAGTAGAAATCAATGTAAAGCATTGATATATGTTTGGCCGATATTTTTGTCTTGATTTACCAGCTGAATTTTGTGATATGGGCGAGTTTTACTTAAGCATCCGCAGTAGACGTGTTCGCCTCTGTTTTAGAAGGATCACTCTTTTAGTTTTGTTTCGTTTTTTCTGTTAGGCCGTAATATTGCAAAATTCCTTTAGTGATACCATGGGTCCGAAGAAAAGTAAGTGTAAACATCAGTGGTGAAGTTTTAGAGGCCTGGAACGGATCGGAAATATTCCCATTAATTTCAATGAGGAAAACTGATTTGAGATACAAGTCTTTTGAGTTACGAGCTAAGTCTTAGAAGGAATTAAACTCGTCTCTCAAGGCATTACTGCCTACACACACACACACACACACACACACACACACACACACACACACACATATATATATATATATTCATACATGTTTCATTAAATAATATAGGCAAGTGTTGTCTATTTATTTTATGTAAATTCTTTTCATAACGTCTGATAAGCTTAATAACATTATCATTAAACGAAGAAAGAAAATCATAATATTGATCCATATTTTTTAATCCTATCTAAGCTTTCGGCGTACATAAGCCATTATCAAAGATGTCAATTACTTTACAACATATTATGCAATATACGGACAAGACAGTGATGATAGTCTGTGATTGTTTACATGGATGATTTCCGAGCAACGATAAACACGTGCATATAAGACGCTAGAAGCGAAAATCGCACCGCAGCTCATGACGTCGTCACATGACCACGCGAGAGTGAATTCTGAGAAGTATATGGGGAAGCCGTTGGTATAAACCAATGGCTTCTGTTACCAATTATAGACATTTAAGGATATTTGTAGAGATTCCATAGTTGATTTTGTTTAGGTTGGGTTTCAACTGTTTGATATATATTGCTTCAAGGATTTTTAGTTTTTGTCTATTGTTTTCATGTCGAAGTATAATTGTGTTTTCGACAAGGATTTTACAGAATTTTGTGTGCGGCCAGACATGTTGTTTTAAATGCCTAACAATTTTATATATATATATATATATATATATATATTAATAATAAGAAAATAAAAAAATTAAAATCTTTAGACACACTGGGTTGTGATTAATATTCTTTCGTTTTTTTATTATTTTTTCCATTTAGATTCTCGACTAGTTTCGACTGAAATGGCCATCATCGGGAGGAGAAATATTTCTGCTTGCTGGTAGCAGTGAAGAAATATAGTCTTAAGATGTGGGTATATTTATGGATAAAGTGCTCAATATCAGAGATAGAGCGTGTGTAAATATAAAGGTGAACATAGAAGTCAACACTTAGAGGCGACAGTCTGTTTCATACTAGATGCAATCGTCAGGTCTGACGATTGCATGTAGCATGAAAAGACTGTCGCCTTTAAATGTTATTTTCTATGTTATATATATATATATATATATATATATATATATATATATATATATATATATATTTATAAAGAGAGATAGAGAGATAGAAAGATGAGGTTATAGTAGTTCCAACGACAGAAAAAGTGTATATATTAAAAAAGATGAGAGAAACCGCAAACGTTTTTGGCTGTCATGTGGATTATATAAATATATATATATATATATATATATATATATATATATATATTATGTTTTATTTTCCATAATTTTGCAACACGTTCTTCATGGAATGAATGTATATTTTCTACCTATTATTAAAATGAATTTATTTTTCCTGTGTTTTTCGACGTTAAATATTCTCAGGCGTAATTGTTCTAGTGAGACAAGCTTGCTAACCATTACACTGCCTTGGGGTGCCCAAATTTATAAATATATATATATATATATATATATATATAAGATATTCGGAAATTTACTGTGCACTTTTATAATCATTGTTTTTATATTTCAGATATTCCCCAAATATGGTTCTAACAACATTGATTATAAGTTTCATTCATATTCTCCTCCGGTGTTCTGTATTGAATCTTGTCTGTTAATGATAATAAAACGAGGGCATATTGGTTTTTCGAAACTTTTTAGAAGTTTACAGTTGAAATTGTAATGATAAATGAAGTGTGTGTGATGAATGAAAGAGTTTAGTGTCTGGAAGTGAATATTATAACGATGAAGATGAATTGAATTGAATAGGTTAATATTGAAGCGTTTAGGGAAGTACTCATTTGGGTGTCAGATCCAAGAAATAGCAATTCTTGAGAAAAGCTTCTTTTTTGTTTTTGTTTTAGGGTCAAAATTGAATTTTTACTGGTGGTGATTTTGCTATCAACACAAAGACTTGGAAAGACCTCACTAGATTTTCAACATCCTGATCCATACCCTTCTATTATACAATACTTTCATGAAAAATATCCCAGGATGTCCACCATAGAACTATTTCAATATCTGTTTTTGTAAAGTCTCTGGTATTATTACTCGTTCTTTATACATTGAACATCTGTCAGTTATGGAAAATGACTTTTCCTTACCACTGAATATTTTTAATTTTTTTTTCTTTACCACTCCTCAGATATTAGCACATTTTTATAATACACTATTTACATTATTGTCCCCATCTTTGTTGCCATATTTATCACAACGTTTCGGCCCTTCAGTATCTGTCCATATTTCTGAGATGAACTATTATGTACACTATTTACATTATTCGGACTATTGTCCTCATCTTTGTCGCCATATTTATCACAACGTTTCGGCCCTTCAGTATCTGTCCATATTTCTGAGATGAACTATTATGTACTTTATTTACATTATTCGGACTATTGTCCTCATCTTTGTCGCCATATTTATC